TTCATTATGGCATATATACAATGGAATACTATATAGCACTGAGAATGCACAAACTACTATATGCAACAGTATGGATAAAAATTATAATGTTGAGTGAAGGAAGAAATAAAAAATATTGTATGACTCTATGGACCTTCAATGTCAGACAAAACTAATCTATACTGATGGCTGCCCAAAGTGGGGTCACTCTTGGAAAGTGGGAGTCAAGATGGTAGCCTTACAGAAATGGCATTATTCTATGGCCAGGTCCAAATGGTGGTAATGAGGGTGTGTTCACTCTGAAAAATTAATCAAACTATACACTAATGCTAGGTATCTTAGATATACTTCAAATTATGAAGTTTACCAAAACAACCACAATAGCAAAAACCCTTTACCAGAGGATCTGCATGAATTCATTTGAGGCTTAGCATTCATGTTTGCAGGCTGTTTTGTGTCTTTGTAGTTCTGGGCTGTCTGCCTTCATAGTTGCCATTGCTTCTGTCTGTTGACATGGTTCTGTCACTTTCTTTTATTCAGCCCTTTGCTATCAATCTAAACTTGATATATTCATCCTGATCCTTCATCTAGTTGTTCTGCCCTTGGAGCGAATTTCTCATTCTCAACTTCTGTTTCAACATTTCATGGCTGGGTGTGTTGGCTCACGCCTGTAATCCCAGCACTTTGGGAGGCCAAGGCGGGTGGATCATTTGAGGTCAGGAGTTTGAAACTAGCCTGGCCAACACGGTGAAACCCCGTCTCTACTAAAAGTACAAAAAAATTAGCTGGGTGTGGTGGTGGGTACCTATAATCCCAGCTACTCAGGAGGCTGAGGCAAGAGAATCACTTGAGTTCAGGAGGCAGAGGTTGCAAGTGAGCAGAGATCGCGCCATTGCACCCCAGCCTGGGTGACAGAGAGAGACTCAATCTCAAACAAACAAAAACAGTAATAACAACCACCACCAAAATCACATTTCACTAATAATGTCCCATGTCAGGTAGTTCTACTTCTTCTGTATATTTTGTTAATGGCCTTGGTTTAATTTTATTGCTTAAATGTTCACTCTTTCCTTGTTTAATTTTTTTCTGTTTTGGCCTAATGATTTTTATGTTCTTTTTATCAATAATTTCATAATTACTATTACATTATCTGCTTGGCAATCTTTTTTTTCCTTCCCAATATCACGACTTTTAAACAGAGCTTTCTCCTCTACTTTTCTGTCTAATGGGGTAGCAGTATGGGATGTGGAATAGGAACTGTCTTATTTTTCACCCTTTACATCCAGCAGAAAGAGCCAGGTGATCCGACATGCAATAGGAAAGGGGGAAAACGAAGATTCACAAATGATAACTAATACAAGTGCTTCCCAGTTGCCCAAAGTGGTTTAACAGATTACTTTTCTTACAGATTTAGCTAAGAGGTCGTCTGACCTGAGTCCTTTTATGGAACTGTTCGGACTCGCTTTCATTTTTTCTTTTTAGAAATAAATCCTCTCGTCCTCAATCGGAGACACTGAAGAAAGCAGGGAGTTTGTATTTTTTAAATCCATATGAAGGTTTTGGCCAGGAATTTTTCAAACACTAGAATAAATTTTTAATTTGGACTTTGATATCCAGACAAGCCCAGCTCAAGTTCTCTTGGGTCTCCTTCCCAAAGACCAGACTTCAAACAGACACTGCTCGCTGTCTTAGCAGAAAGGCACCACAGCAGCTGCGACGGCTGCGGTCAGCAGAAAATGCTGCACATCCTGCCTGTCTGGGCAGGACCTCCGTTTGCTACACTGCACTGGAAACCAACACATCCTATTCCGTGGTCCTGAAGCAGAAGTCCTCAGAAAAGAAGGAAAGAACATGGAGACCATCGGGGCAGGAAATGCTGGGTTCCCTGCTGAGAGCATTCTCCATAACATGGGATTAAAATACCAAAGGGAAAAAGACAAACACTATTTTCTTCCACATTATGATTTGCTTCGTATGCTTTTCATTTTTTGTCTTTGGTGTTTGGATTGTAGAAGAAATAGATGAGTTTCTTACAGATGAGACCCCAGAGAACCTTGGGTTTAACTCTTAGTTTAACTTTCCGAAACTTGACTGACAAAACAGAGACTGGGAAAGATAAAAAAAAAAAAAAAAAAAAAAAAAAAGAAGAAGTAACTGATTTTCTCTGACAACTATAAAAGCAGTTCATTTCCTTTTGGAGACTTAGATGGGAGACTCTAAGTAATTGAAACTTAATACGCAGAGTCCCCCAGAAAAGTGACCAACCTGGGGCTGTTAGCATCATTTCCTGTTAATTGTCACCTGAAATAACCAGTTGTGGAAATGGCACGGGGGCCTGAAGCAAAGGAATGTAGTCTAGCCCGCTCATGGTCCATAATGAAATACAAATGATTTAACAGCAGTACTGACAAGGTTCTCAGAATAAATCATTTCCATTCTCACCACTTCAGATCACTTACTGTAATTGCCTTGAGACAGAATGGGGGAGTTGGCCGTTGGTTACCTAAGCTCTGTGACAATTCCCCCCATTTACCCATGAGGACAAAATGCAGTTCTGACCTAATTTACTTCTCTTCCCTAAGGCTGAAGGGCAAGTACTGTCTGTATCCCAGGGAAATCTAGAAGTTAAAGGTGGCCAGAATAATTGCAAAGTTTTTCTGAGAATCCTCTACCTGTGTGTTGACTCCGAAGTGGCCTCTTGCAGGCCCGAGTGCTCAAATGAGCTGCTGTGGCTGGGCTTGCCTGGGTTTTCTACCAAATCACATACCTGGACAGATCTGTAGTTTGAATGTTTGTGTTCCTGCAAAATGCATGTTGAAAATTAATTCCCAATCCAATAGCATTAAGAGGTGGGGCCTTTTGGAGGTGATTAGCCCTCATGAATGGAATTAGTGCCCTTATAAAAAGGGCTTGAGGAAATAAGTTCACCCCACCCACCTCTGCTCTCCCTTCTGCCATGTGAGGACTCAGCACAAGGGGCCATCTCTGAAGCAGAGGCAAGGCCTTGCCAGACACCAAACCTGCTGGCACCTTGATCTTGGACTTCCCTGCCTCTAGAGCTATAAGAGACACATTGCTATTATTTGAAAATGACCTAGTCTGAGGTATTTTGTTGTAGCAGCACAAATGGACTCAGATAAGAGCCAATCATACTCTCCTGTGTATTTCTTCCATTTTCTCCCAATCTTTCATCCCACTGCAATGAGTAAGGTTTGGAACCTCTCTTACTTTTCTGGAGAGGCCAAGTTCCTCTGTACTCTTGATCAATAGGGAGTTATGAGTCTCTGTGAACTATGCTTCCCATTCGAGTTAGTCATCCTGTTCTCTTGGCCTCCTCTGCACTTTGGCCATGCCTGCGTATTGGTTTGTCTACCTCCTTTGGGCTGAGAACATCTGGGAATGAGGAACCTGATGTGTCTCATCATTGTATCTCCACCATCTGCCAGAGCACACAGGGAACAAGTATCTGAGGAAAGCAAGGGAGAGGAAGGATGACAGGAAGAAGTCTTGGCCTACTGGCCCAGTTCCCTGGATGTGGTTGCAAATTGATAAGATGCACAGAAACAGAACTTCCAGGGAAGCTCCCTGGAAAATCTTACTCTCAGATGAAAACTCTGATATGAATGCCACTACAGTATTCATAGGATCAGGATGACTGGGCAGCCATCTCCCCCAAGACCTGCCAAGACTATGTCATTTCCTTATCTGATGCTGAGAGTCTTAGCTCTGGTCCTTGATATCCAACACAAGATGGCCATCCTGGAAAAAGCCTGTGTCTAGGCTCCTGCTGGCCCACTCACCGTCATTCCACTATGGCCAAGTAATCATTCCCAAAGGACAGATCCTGCCACTGTCCTATTCCAGAATCAGATGCTCATTCCCAGGCCCCACCTGGCCTTTGAGGCTCTCCAACAGTGCCCGTGGCACCACACAACCCTCCAGACTCCCCAGAGATGCTCAGGCCAATCCTGTCATCCCCAGTGTGCTTAGTCCTAGCTCGGACCTTTCAATGCTTCTGTGCCAATAGGTATTCATCTGTTATTTCAAGAAATCTTTCTGAGGGACCACATCCAGCTCATCTTTCTCACACTTTGTATGTTCTCCTTGCTCGGGTGCCCCGTCTGGACCACATCCTGCCCATCCTCCTCCTCCCTATGCATTCCTTCTGTCAATGCATATTTCGAGAAACTTACCACGTGCTAGGCCCATACTTTGTGAGAGGCGGAGCTGAGATTCAAATCCAGATCTAAACAACTAAAGAGCCTGGTTCTCCATGATAACACTCCACAGCACCACCCACCCCTGAGGCCTCTTTGACATAGACTTAGCTTCTTTTCTCAGTGAAAAGAGACATCACTTTGACCGGAAAAGCAAGAGTCCCATCAGTTGGGCTGTAGCCCCCAGGATCCATCTCTTCAATAGTTTCCATACACCACTTGTGGAAATAACATCACTGTGTCGGCCTGGGAGACACCTTTCTTGGAGTGCAAGACAGCAGAAGGGCTTCAAAAAGGGAACTGAGATTGGGATAGAAAGAGGAAAGCACTCCTCCCTCTCGTCCAGTGCTCCCTCACACACTAAGTGGAGACCCTTCCTTTGGGAAGAAAGGAAGCAAGTAAAGGAGATGGAGGCAGTGGTGAGGAGGGGACTCTGCCAGCCAGAATGTTGCATCACCATCCAGAGCCATGGCACAGTGGCTGGACCGAGAAACGGATATGGATTTGGATATAGGGGCTGGTACCCTCCTTCCCTTCGTAGCTGGCTGGGCCTGTGGAGAAGGAATCTCTGGATGTGGGCCTGAGATTTTGAGTTCACTCATAGTGAGTGACAAAAATGAGATGGTTATTTGTTTTACGGTAATGATCTCCATGAGGCTCCAAACTCTGGAGCTGCAGTCGGCACGCCACACGGCAGGCCTTCCTTCGGGTGTGAAAGGATTTCCTTGGTTTGGTGGGATTCGTTTGTTTTTTAAACGAGGCTGTTTATTTTCTCTTCTTTTAATGTGATGATTTTTTTTTCAGACTCACAAGGAAGATACATAATGTACAGCCGAATCTACAGTCCCCTATTTTGTCAGCTGCTTGTGTTGATTAAAACTTCAATAAAGATCCTGTGATAAAACAGAGCTATGTTCAAAGGATCTTGTTATGTTTGTAAAGGGCTGAGCTTGGCAGAAAACATGTAGAGTATAGCTTTGCTACCTTGGTATTTTCCTCCTTTTCCAGGTGAGAGAGGGAGAAGTGGAGGAGACACATACAGTGGTTTCTAGTACCTGTGGGAGTGTCAGACAGCACGTGTTTAACCAAGTCCCAAATAATAAGCAGGGTCCAACTTAAATGCATGAAAATTGTTTATCAAACTGGTGTTAAATGTGTGACCAAGAGCAGACCTCCTCCCATAGGTCTGACTGACAGCCTGTCTCTGCAAGAGGTCCCAGCCTAACAGGGAAGGGGAGGAGGCAAGCCAGGGGCAAAGTGAGGACACAGAGCTCCAGGAATTCCATACCCGGTGATTCACCCAACTCGCCCAAGCTGATCCATTCCAGCAAGATTCCAATAAACTGCCAGTAACACATTGTTTTAAAGCCCAGAAATCGCTGAAGGCTCTCAAGGGAGAGGTGTCAGTGGTGCCATCTACTCCCCAACCCCTTTTCCCCCTTCCCTCCAGACAGCCCATTCCTGGCAGCCGCTGAAGTCTCGCAACTCTTATTCTGAAAGAAACCGAGAAATGGATGTACGTGAACATCAGGCTTGCCAAAGTCGCTGACTTTATGCAAAGCAGGCAAGTGCAGTCAAAACACTTACAGCAATCAATTCGAGTTGTTGGGTAAAGTTTTTTCCGTGCCCCATACATTATTGAACAGTTAATTTCGTCTTTGTGCCTGCAAGACATTCCAGCTCTCAGATGACAGCTTTATCCATTAAGGAGTGCCTGGTGACAGCCGTGCAGCAAGAGCTTTGCCAGCCTGGCCTGCCGGGAGGCGCGTCTGCATCACCACCGAGAAATCCTGGGACACATCAACATCTTAATCAATATGCGAGAGTCAATTACCGGGGAAGCGAGGGCTTAAGCAGGAGCTGATGATGAGGTTCCCGTGCAAATGGACTTGATCAATACGCAGCTGAATCTCACACGTGGATTCACATGAGCCCTCCCACGGCACCCAGTCCCCAACTGGCAGGCCAATCACACCGCTCCTAGCCGCCAATCATCTGCTTTACTAGACTCATTACTGCTCTTCTTTGATTCATTCCTTTGATAGAAGTATTGGGAACAGAGAAGCAGAGTTGAGGGAAACAACCAAAACGTGCTGCCTGGACTCACAGAGAACTCATGGAGAATTCTACACAGAGCCTGGATGGACTAGCTCAAAGACCAAGAGACAGCGTTTCTGCAAAGATGTGTTCTCTCCACATTCTTGTTTGTTTGTTTTGTTTTAAACAACAACAACAAAAAGACACTCGTTAGAGGAAAAACTAATTCAGCTTCTGAGGGAACAGTACTTCTTTTTCACGGATGAGAAAGCTGAAACTTAGAAAGGCCAAGAGCATAGGGTTGCACAGAGTGGATTCACAGCAGGGACTAGAAACAAGGTCTTTAGATTCCAATAGCTACCTAATCTAATTGAATCATATAGCTAAGGGTTAGAGGACTGAAAAATGCAAGAGACACATGAACTAATAAAGTGAAAGGGAAACAGTGTTTTCTTGGTGGTAGTAGGAATTTCCAGTTGGACCTTGGAGAGTGGAGAACGACTTGACAAGGGTTGGGGGAAAAGGCAGTATTCTCTGTGGGAGGGGGGCCTGTGTGTCTGATGAGCAGCATAGAGCCACGTTAATAGCAAATGGCTACACTACTGTGGAAGGGGATGCACTAACAGGAGGTGAGGTGGATGAGCAGGGCAGGGCAACGATATTCAAGTCAAGTTAGTCATTGTGTTTGGAACACCAAGGCCAGGATAACAAACTTGGACTTTATCCTCTAGGGCAGTCTTTCTTAAACTAGTATGCTATGGAACACCCACCCTCTAAGATGCTTCACAAAAGAGGGCAGCAACATGAAGGACACTTGGAAGATGCTGTGTACAAAGTCATCGCCTCAAAAAAGTCATACTACATTCTAGCACATTGTCACGCTCTGAGAAGACCTAGAACAAAGACATGGCTTTAGCTTTCCTCAACCCAGTATACACCCACAAACAGCATTTGGATCTTCTTCAAAGACACTTCCCTGACCAGCCAGCTAGGTGAGATTGGCTCACCTTTCAGGGGCTCCCAAAAGCATTCTGCATTTTTCTTCGAAACATTCATCACCTGTGCAGTTTTTAATTCAACGTCTACTTTTTTATTACCATGAAACTCCATTCATTTGTCTCATTGACTTCCTGGCACAGAGCAGATTCTCACTCCTCCAATGAGGGGATGTATGTGGAATACTCCAGAAACAGTTTGGGCAAGGCTGCTCTCCTGGGAACCACTGGAGGTTGCTTCTTGCTCAATATGGTAAACATGGCACACCTTAACAAGATGAGCTGTTGAAGTTGTTTCTGATGGAAAAGGGTTGAAGCCAGGGAAATCATGGTGCCGGGAAATCAGTCCAGGAGAAAGGCGGTAAGGGACAAGCTGAACTGGGAATAGACCAATGTTTATGGCTTCAAGAGATATTTCTTGGGAAGAACTCATGGGGCTCTGCCTGATTGCCACAAAGTGTGGAGAGGTTGTGAGTGCAGGCTCTCAGGAGGGACAGACCCAGATCAGAATTGTGACCCACCTCTTGTAGCATCACAGGCAGTGAGGTGACCTTGGGCCAGTCCCTTCCCATCTATGAGCTTGTTCCTCATCTGTAAAATGACAATGGCATATGGAAGAATCTAACTAAAATTAGCTATGATTTTTTTTTTTTTTTTTTTTTTTTGAGACGGAGTCTTGCTCTGTCGCCCAGGCTGGAGTGCAGTGGCAGTGGCGCAATCTCGGCTCACTGCAAGCTCCGCCTCCTGGGTTCACGCCATTCTCCTGCCTCAGCCTCCCGAGTAGCTGGGACTACAGGCGCCCGCCACTGCGCCCGGCTAATTTTTTCTATTTTTAGTAGAGATGGGGTTTCACCATGGTCTTGATCTCCTGACCTTGTGATCCGCCCGCCTCGGCCTCCCAAAGTGCTGGGATTACAGGCGTGAGCCACTGCGCCCGGCCTAGCTATGATTATTAATACATGGCAACCATTGTTAATATTACGAAAGACAGGAGAGTGAGAATGGTTTTGGTATTTCAGATGTGTGTACTCAGAAAATTGGGACATTGGCTCAAATTTGAAACTCTGGGAGGAAAAGGGTTTGTTTCGGGGCATATTGAGTTTGAAGTGAGGCAAGTATGTTTAAATGTCCCACAAGCAGCTAAGCACATAGGACTGAGACCCTAAGGAGGGGTCAGCATGGGGCATGGCTGAAATTGAGAGAATAGATGAGCAACTCTATAAAGGGAACAGAAAGAAAGGGCAGAGAGCAAGAGGCTGCCTTGGGCAGCTGCCTTATTTTGGCAGCAGGAGAACGAAAAGAAAAGTCGACCTTGTTGCTGTTACCAGAAGATGCTGTGGTTCTCAGGTTGCCTTAGACAGCTGAGTAGCATCTCATCAGCCTGAGCTAAGGAAAGGCTGCCGTGTGGGCTAAAGCTTAAGTGGTACTCACAGAATATGTGGAAAGTTCCCGTGGCAACTTCTTATTGAAAATCCTCACCCCAGTTATTTTCCATTCCTGCTGAGACATCTGTGTCCCTCAGGTTATGGTATAAATATTTTATGAAACACAGAGGGTTGAGATATCTTAACACTTTAACCGAAAACTCATTTTTCTGAAAATTAAAGGATGCATTTTCCACTTACAAAAAATACGAAACTCTAGATTGGACAAAGAAATGGACATGTCACATTGCAATATTTTATACAGTGTTTCTGAGGGCCTCAAAGTACTGAAGATGTTAATTCCATTCCTTTCTCCATGAGGCTTGTAAGTTTCATTATGCAAGTTTAAAGTTGGGTAAGGAGTAAGCACAGAGCCCAGAGGCTAGTAGGTGTTCAATTAATGTGTGTCCTCTTCCCTTCTTATGTGATAAAGGTTGAAATGTGGTCTGTAGACTCAGGGAGGTGAATAATCTGAGATATTTCCAGGCTACACTTAATGCCATTAGCAGGGGTTAGAGGAGAGAAAAGAGAAGAAACTTAATTAGGAGAATAGACCAGGCGCGGTGGCTCATGCCTGTAATCCCAGCACTTTGGGAGGCCGAGGCAGGTGGATCACGAGGTCAGGAGATTGAGACCATCCTGGCTAACACAGTGAAAACCCGTCTCTACTAAAAATACAAAAATTACCCGGGCATAGTGGTAGGCGCCTGCAGTCCCAGCTACTCAGGAGGCTGAGGCAGGAGAATCGCTTGAACCCGGGAGGTGGAGGTTGCAGTGAGGCGAGATTGTGCCATTGTACTCCAGCCTGGGCGACAGAGCCAGACTCCATAAAAAAAAAAAAAAAAAAAAAAAAAAAGAGTGGAATAGAAAAGATATTCTGATTCTGAAAGGCAACTAGAGAACACTTTATGATGAAGTGGAACTGCAGGACCCCCGAATAGAGAAAATGATCCATAGTTTATGAACGAGTGTAGACCTTAACACTGAAAAGTGGTCCTTTTGCTAACTGCCCAGAAAGAGTCACACAGCCTCTGCCAATCCAAGTTCTGGCAAGATCATCTTAGCTCCAACTCTCTCTGTGGATCACAACCACCCTATGAAGAACAAGAACATGTGAAGGGACCAAGGAGTGAATGTCACCAGGTTACATCGATCCTGCGCCCGCTCACAATCTCCACCGAGGTTTGAGTGTCTAGAATCCTGTTCCTACTTTATTATACCTGTGGCTTAGGGAATTAAGCAGCTGGGGGGAAGCATGGTTTTTGATACCACAGAGCATCCTCCTTACTCAAAGTCTGTGTCCTGGGCTTTTTTATCAGAAGTGGGTGGGTAACACGTGAGAAAAAAAAATTGGCCCCATAAAGGGATCCGGAAAGATGACATATTTGTCTGTTAAGTATAAATATGAACAGCCATGGAGATATGGTCCTGTGATGCTAGGTTTTCACTCCA